ATAAAATAAAAATAAAGAGTTAAATAAAAATCAAAGACCTCGAGAGATTCTGTAGGATACCCTTCAAGCACCAAGCTGTGTAATGGGCATAAGGTTAACAAAATAGAAATGGGCTCTGCCTTCATAAAGTTTATGGTCTAGCGAGCAAGAAGGACAATAAGTACACTTTTCTCCATCTCTGCTTCCCACCCTGCTAGTGGAAGCCACTATCATCTCTTACCTGAACCACAGCAGCAGACTCCAAACTGGTCTCCCTGCTTCTGCGCGTGTTCTTAAATCCTCTCTATACAGAAGCCCCGGAGACCTTTTAAAAAATATAAATCAAATCTTGTATTTATCCTTCTATCTTAGTTACCTAGTGCTGCTGTAACACGAAAACCACAAGTAGGTGGCTTTAAAGAACAGAAATTTATTTCCTCACAGTTTTGGAGGATAAAAGTTCAAATCAGGGTCTGAGCCATGTCTATTCTGTCCTTGTTGGTAGCTCCAGGTGTTCTTTGGTTCCTTGACTTGTAGATGATCCTCACATGGTGTCTGACTTCTCTTGTGTGTGTGTGTGTGTGTGTGTGTGTGTGTGTGTGTGTGTGTGTGTGTCTGTCTGTCTGTCTGTCTGTCTATCTGTCTGATCTGCTCTTTTTGTAGCTCAGAAGTGATTAAATTTAGAACCCATGTACTTAGATAAGATCTAATTAACACAACAAAACTATTTCCAAACAGGATTACATCCACAGGTGTAGGTGTTAGGATTGAACACATACTTTACGGGGACGCAGTTCAATCTGTAACCTACTTAAGCCCTTTTATAGTTTCACACTGCATCTGGGATACAATCCTAACTTCTTTCCTTGGCTCCAAGGTCTCCTTCTTAAACTATGAATCATGATACTGGGCCCCACTTCTCAAGGACTTTGCTTGTTCTGTTCTCTGACTCTCCACTTGACTGGCCTCTTCTTATCCGTTAGATCTAGCTAAAGTTGGTCCTTATCACGCCCATCACTGTTAGTCTTTGTCACAGAACCCTTGCAAGTGCCTAACACAATTACTAATTATCTCTGCACTTGTTGAGGAGAAAAAGTGTCTGAAATTAAGGTTTTTCTATTCAGTTTAGAACTGAAAGGAGAGGAGTGTATCTTGAAATTTGCAGTGCAGGTATCTTTTCTTCTAACTTCAAAGTGATACCTAATTAAATTACTAAGGTAATGCTTACCAAGCCACTTGCAAGCAGGAAAGCCATTCTTTCCATTTTGATCAGAATTAATACATCTGTAAAATAGATTGTACTCCACTATGAAGCAAACATTTTTAAAGTGAAGATACGTTGACAGAAACATAGGTGAGTTTAGCCATACAAACAGCTGTTGTTATTGTTTATTGTGAGGTGCCATCGAGTCAGTTTTGACTCACATTGACCCTATGTACAACAGAAATAAACACTGCCTGGTCCTGCACCAGCCTCACAATTGTTGCTGTGCTTGAACCCATCCTTGCAGCCACTGTGTCAGTTCATCTTGCTGAGGGAATTCCTCTCTTTTGCTGACCCTCTACTTTACCAAGCATTATATCCTTCTCCAGTGACTGGTCCCTCCTAATAACATGTCCAAAGTATGTGAGACAAAGTCTTGCCATCCTCCCTTCTGAGAAGCATTCTGGCTGTACTTCTTCCAAGACAGATTTGTTCCTTCTTCTGGAAGTCCATGGTATATTCAATATTCTTTGCCAACACTGTAGTTCAAATGCATCAATTCTTCTTCAGTCTTCCTTACTCATTGTCCAGCTTTTGCATGCATATGAGGTGGTTGAAAACACCATGACTTGTGTTCAAAGTGACATCTTTACTTTTTACACTTTAAAGAGGTCTTTTGCAGCAGATGTGCCCAGTGCAATGCGTCCCTTGATTTCTTGACTGCTGCTTCTATGGGCGTTGATTGTGGATCCAAGTAAAATGAAATCCTTGACAACTTCAGTGTTTTCTCCATTTATCATGATGTAGCTCACTGGTCCAGTTGTGAGGATTTTGTTTTTTTTTCTTTATGTTGAGGTGTAATCCTTACTGAAGGCTGTAGTCTTTGATCTTCATCAGTAAGTGCTTCAAGTCCTCTTCACTTTCAGCAAGCAAGGTTGTGTCATCTGCGTATCACAGGTTGTTAATGAGTCTTCCACTAATCCTGATGCCGCATTTTTTTCATATAGTCCAGCTTCTCAGATTATTTGCTCAGCATAGATTGAATAAGTATGGTGAAAGGACACAACCCTGACACATACCTTTCCTGACTTTAAACCACGCAGTATCCCCTTGTTCTGTTCAAACAACTCCCTCTTGTTTTAAGTACAGGTTCCTTATGAGCACAGTTAAATGCTCTGGAATTCCCATTCTTTGCAATGTTATCTGTAATTTATTATGATTCACACAGTTGAATGCCTTTGCGTAGTCAATAAAACACAGGTAAACATCTTTCTGGTATTCTCTGCTTTCAGCCAAGATCCATCTGACATCAGCAATGATATCCCTTCTTCCATGTCCTCTTCTGAATCTGGCTTGTATTTCTGGCAGTTCCCTGTCGATGTACTGCTGCAACCGCTTTTGAATTGTCTTCAGCAGAATTTTACTTGCATGTGACATTAATGATATTGTTTGATAATTTCTGCATTTTGTTGGATCATCTTTCTTTGGAATGGCACAAATATGGATCTCTTCCAGTTGGTTGGCCAGTTAGCTGTCTTCCAAATTTCTTGGCATAGATGAGTGAGCACCTCCAGCACTGCATCTGTTTGTTGAAACATCTTAATTGGTATTCTGTCAGTTCCTAGAGCTTTGTTTTTCACCAGTACCTTCAGTGCAGCTTGAACTTCTTCCTTCAGTACCATCGGTTCTTGATCATATGCTACCTCCTGAAATGGTTGAACGTAGACCAATTCTTTTTGGTACAGTAACTCTGTGTGTATTCCTTCCAGCTTCTTTTGATGCTTCCTGCATCGTTTAATATTTTCCCCATAGAATCCTTCAATATTGCAACTTGAGGCTTGAAATTTTTCTTCAATTCTTTCAGCTTGAGAAATGCTGAGCATGTTCTTTCCTTTTGGTTTTCTAACTCCGGGTCTTTGCACATTTCATTATAATACTTTACTTTGTCTTCTTAAGCCACCCTTTGAAATCTTTAGTTTAGCTCTTTTACTTCATCATTTCTTCCATTTGCTTTAGCTGCTCTAAGTTCAAGAGCACGTTTCAGAGTCTCTTCTGACATCCACTTTGGTCTTTTCTTTCTTTGCCGTTTTTTTTTTAATGACCGTTTTGTTCTCTTTATGTATGATGTCCTTGATGTCATCCTACAACTCATCTGGTCTTTGGTCATTAGTGTTCAGTGCATCAAATTTATTCTTGAGATGGTCTCTACATTCAGGTGGTACGTACTCAGGGTTGTACTTTGGCTCTCATGGACTTGTTTTAGTTTTCTTCAGCTTCAGCTTGAACTTGCATGTGAGTAATTGATGATCTGTTCTGCAGTTGGCTCCTGGCCTTGTCCTGACTGACGATATTGAGCTTCTCCATCATCTCTTTCCACAGAAGTAGTCTATTTGATTCCTATGTATTCCGTCCAGCAAGTTCCACGTGTATTAGTCGTCATTTATGTTTTTGATAAAAGGTGTTTGCAATGAGTAAGTCGTTAGTCTTCCAAACTTCTGCCACGTGATCACCTATTTCATTTCTGTCACCAAGGCCATGTTTTCCAACTACCAATCCTTCTTCATTTCCTACTTTCGCATTCCAATCACCAGTAATTCTCAGTGCATCTTAATTGCATATTTGATCAATCTCAGACTGCAAAAGTTGGTAAAAATCTTCAATTTCTTCTTCTTTGGCGCTAGTGGTTGGTGTGTAAATTTGAATAATAGTTGTTTTAAGTGGTCTTCCTTGTAGTCATATGGATATTATCCTATCACTGACAGCATTGTACTTCAGGATAGATCTTGAAATGTTCTTTTTGATGATGAATGTGATGTCACTGCTCTTCAATTTGTCATTCCCAGCATGGTAGACCATATGATTGCTTGATTCAAAATGGCCACTACCAGTCCATTTCAGCTCACTAATGAAATTTTAGACTCTTAAAGGAATTGAGTCTCTGGGTGCCTCAAACTGTTAAGTGCGAGGCTACTAACCAACAGGATGGCTGTTTGAACCCACCTAGAGGTATCTCAGAAGAAAGGCTGGCAATCGGCTTCCCAAAGGCTACAGCCATGAAAACCTATGTAGTGCAGTTCTACTGTGCATAATGGGGCCACCATGAGCTGGAATTACATTAAATAACTGGTTTTGGGTTAGGAACAATTTGAAGTTAGGAACCAAAGGCATAATAAAAATGTAGGCTTTGTTAGGTTACTTAAGATACATGTATAAAGGAGATGTTATTGGGGGAAAACTGAGAGACTGAGGGAGACTATGAGAGCTGTGGGTGAGGATAGAAGAAGGAGAAATGGGAGAGACAGAGCCATATACAAACAGAAAGGGAGGCAAAGAGCAATAAGTGTAAGGTGGCACCAGGTTGTTTAAAATTCTAATCAAGGACGAGAGTAAATGGCATCCCTCCTTAGCTGTTTCCTGAGGTTGTTGGAGGTGGGAGGTGGTTATGCTGTTGACATTTTGTTGTGTGATTACAAAAGGCCAGGTGATAGAGGGCCATCTGATTTCATTAAACAGTCAGTCTTTGTCTAGAAAACTATTATTTTCTTCCTTCTGAGTCACATTACTGAAAAGCTCTGATTTCCTGTTTTAAATCTCTTAGTAATAATTTACCAAAATTTAACTTCTGGTCCTCAAAAATACTTGTTTTTTTCCGGGGTGGGGGGAAGGTGGTGCATTTTTCATGAGGTGCACATATGTGCATAACAGTTTAGGAACCAAAGAGCTAACATCTTCCTTATAATTGTGAAACGTTTGAAAGAACAGTTATGACTAGTCCTTTGGACTGTAGGTTGTTTACTGACTGTGTGTTTGCCTGCAGTTTGCCACGAGTCCTGTGCAGCATGCTGGGGGCCCACGGAGAAGCACTGCTTGGCCTGCAGAGATGCCCTCCAAGTGCTGAGAGAGGGTAGCTGTGAGAGCAGCTGTGGTGAAGGCTTTTACAACAAGCAGGGGATCTGTAAGGGTAAGTGCCGGGCTTTTAATGTCAAAGCATCTTTCCCTTTGCTAACATCTCTTTTTTTATTCAAATTGAAACACCAATAACCAACGTTTCTTTTCTTCAACAAATATGTGAATGGCTGCTAAAATTGAACAGTGTTTTTCGGTGGCTGGATTTTTGGAAGTAGATAGCCAGGCCTTTCTTCCAGGGTGCCTCTTCGTAGACCTAAACCACCAACCATTTGGTTAGCAGCCGAGCTAACTGTTGCACCACCCAGGGACTCCTTTTACAGGCATGATCCCCTTTCATTGTTCTGATGGTTTGTTATGTCGGGGTGCTCATTATAGCATCATCCTACAAATGAAGACAGTGAAGCTTGGGCTGCTTGCTCAAGATCCCCAGTGATAAGAAGAGCGGTGTAACTACCCGTTCCCTTTCACCAAATCCCAAACTCTCCATCAATCAATTCTTTTGGAATATGTGTGAAAACAAAGAGACCGTCTTATACCAGCCAAGGGCAGACCCACTTTTGGTGTTGGTGCCACTGACTTAAAGCTGAAGCAGTTATTGTATATTCTGTTTTTAACACTCACTGCCATAGTAATGGAAACCCTGGTGGCATAGTGGTTAAGAGCTATGGCTGCTAACCAAAAGGTTGGCAGTTTGAATCCACCAGGTGCCCCTTGGAAGCCCTATGGGGCAGTTCTACTCTGTCCTTTAGGGTTGCTATGAGTCAGAATCAACTCAATGGTAACAGATTTGGGGTTTTATTGGCCATAATAATATGGGGGCAGTGGTGGTTCAGCGGTACCATTCTCCCCTTCCACGAGAGAGACCTGGGTTCGATTCCCAGCCAGTGCATTTCATGCGCAGTCACTACCCATCTGACAGTGGAGGTTTTCGTGTTGCTGTGATGTTGAAAGGTTTCAGTGTAGCTTCCAGATGAAGATGGACTGTGAAGAAAGGTCTACTTCCGAAAATCAGCCAATGAAAATCCTATGGATCACAGTGGTCCTATCCACAACCAATCGTGAGGATGGCACAGGACTGGGTAGCATTTCCTTCCATTGTGCATGGGGTCGCCACAAGTCGGGGGCCAAATCTATGGCAGCAAACAACAACAAGCGGCCATAATAACAAAAGCTAAACCAGCTTCATGCCTCCTTATGCCAGGCAGTACTCCAAGTGCACTGTAAACATTAACCCACTGAGAAGCAGGAAGGTATCGGGGAAAAGCATAACCTTGGACAAATTACTTAATCTCTCTATGTGTCAGTTACCCTTTATAAAATGGGGATCATAGTAGCACCGTTGGTAGACAGAATAATGGCCTCCAAAGAGGTCCATGTCCTAACCCCTAGAATCTGTGATTATGTTATCTTATATAGTGAAAGGGACTTTGCAGATGTGACTAAATGAAGGATCTTGAGATGGGGAGATTATCCACATAGGTCCAATGTAATAACAAGGGTCCTTATATAACGAAGATAAGGAGGGTCAGAATCAGAGAAGGGGATGTGAGGATGGAAGCAGAGCTCTGAGTGATGATCGAAATGAAGCAAGAAAGAGGCCATGAACAAAAAATTCAGGAAGGAAATTGATTTTCCCCTAGAGACTCCAGAAGGAGCACAGTTCTGCAAAGACCTTGATTTTAGGACTTCTGACCTCCAGAACTGCAAGATAATGAATTTGTATTGTTTTAAGCCACTAAGTTTGTGGTGATTTGTTACAGCAACAATAAGAAACTTTGACACACCCAACTCAGAAGACTGTTGAGAGGATTAAGTTAATATATGCAAAGTAGTTAGAACAGTGCCTGGTACAGAGTGATTGCTTTGTAAGTGTGGGGTGTTTAATCTTCACAACAATTTCATGAAGTAGGTATTATTATCATCCTTATTTTCAGATGAGGAAACAGAGAGGTTAAGAAACTTGCCTAAGGTCACACAGCTAATAAGTAGCAGAGTGGGATCTGAGCCTAGGACTTCTGGCTGTAGATCTTAACAGCCTCCGAACCACTCTGCTTCCTCACTATAATGTGATACCACCTTATGCACTTCTGCCTATTTTTCTCCTTTTCTCCTTCACATCATCCCCTCCCCACTTCCTTTTCTTCCTCTTTCCCCTTGCCTTCTGTCAGTCTTTAGATGAGCCAGCAATCCTGTAGATGTCAAGTCTGCAGGTAGGAATCCTGACAATGAATGAAAAGTTTGAATTGCATTTTCTGCAATGGTCACACCCAGGGATGGATTACTCAATAAGCACGGTACATAAGGGTTTTCTTACTAATCTGTGGTACACAATTTCAACTCTTTTTCACCCATGTGAAATTGTTCACTATAGATTAGTAAGTAAGCAATTAAGTCTGTGCGTACCTTGCTTACTGTGAGCCTGTGCATGCCTTGCTTACTGGTTAATCTGCCCCTGGTCATACCTATACAAAGGCCAGGATGACTTTTTTATATCTATAAACAAGTCCACTAAATCAATAAAAATGTGAAGCCTCATAAAACTTTCTTGAGTTATTGTCCTCATTTTGTTCACTGAGCAAGGCAACAGCAAAAATGAGGTGATCTTTGGGACTTAACAAATCCACTTGTCTTGGGGAAGAGAGAGAGCCTCTGGCAGCTGCTTGCTTAAAGCTATGCAGAGATCCATCAGCCCTGAAGGTGTGAGAAGTCTGTTGGGTACAAACAAGTCACAGGTGGCTTTTGTGTGGATTCAGGAGAGAACAAGGAACGAAAGGCAAGGCTGCCATTTGCCTGAGCATTTTCATTTTTTTCTGCCAGCATCACTTTGGGACTCAGTTAAGCCAGATGTATTCTCTAAAGGGCGACAGATGTCAAATTTGCACTAATCTAAAGGCCTAAAGACATTTACCCTTTGAATCCCTGAGGAGGCTGGTTACTGTCACCGATGGCAGAGCAGTGACATTGACCTGCCACAGAAACTCAGCAGTATCTGGAATTAGAAAGAAACGCTTGCTGGGGGAAGCGGTGTAGTTAAATGGAGGCATAGTTAGTGTGAGCCTGAGGCAGTGAAGGGCAGGAATATACCAGGGCTTAGAGGCTGAGTAAAGGAAGCCAGAGGAAGAAAGAAAAGAAGACTACTTAGCAAGTGGCATTGTTGTTAGGCACTGTTGTTAGATGCAGTCGAGCTGACCTCCAATTCATGGCAACCCTTTGTGATCCATAGGGTTTTCACTGGCTGATTTTCAGAAGTAGGTAGCCAGGCCTTCCCTCTTAGTCCGTCTTAGCCTGGAAGCTCTACTGAAATCTGTTCAGCATCACAGTGACACCCAAGCCTCCACTCACATATGAGTGGTGGCTACGCTTGGTGTGCATTAGCTGGGAATCAAACCTAAGTCTCCTGTGTAGAAGGTGAGAATGGTACCACTGAACCACCACTGCCTTTAACAAGTGGCGTAGGGCGAGAGTATACATCTGAAGTGCTATCTATAAATTTTGAAAATCACCAGACCGGAAACTCCCAAACAGGGGAATGGACCGTTGCTGACATCAATCAGCCAACTGATCAACTGGTCAACAAATGATTACTGAGCAAATACTGTGTGTTTCGCATGATACAAGACTTTGTGATTCGATTGGCATCAACCAGCAGACATTTTAATAAAGAAGACTGGAGTTTATACTTTTCATAAAACTGTTGGAGTTCTCTAAGTTTTTTTATCAAATGCTTTCAGAAATGTCCATATAAATATTTTCTAAAACAACAATGAGCCAAGTTACTGATTGGTATCGGAATGTTAATTAAGACGTCTGAAGCTGATAATGCTGACTTATTTCCAATTCAGATTAGTGCTATTCAAGATAAAGACCTGCTGGTGTTGGTTTAATAATTTATAACCAGCAGCTCCTATCTGTAGAAATCTCAAAGTCAAGTGCTGAGAAAAATCCAGCATGGCCTATTATAAGTATGCCGTAACTGAAACGATTTACAGCCAACAAGTGTATCTGTGGTACTTGTTTAGAGTTCTACAAATATTAGATATAAAGGGTGGAGCAATTCAAAGAAAAAAAACTTTTCATTCCTTTCTTTAGTCTTTTAAGTACTTGTGCTATTATGAAGGACTTTTCTGACTCCAGTTAACATTGTAAATCAAAGCAAGTTCAGAGGTTTGTTAGCCATTTCTCTCTCTTCCTTCCTTCCTCCTCTCCCTTCCCTCCTTTCTTCTTCCTCTTTCTTTTATCCTGTTTTTTTATCTTTTTATTTTTATGAGCTCCTGTAAACTGGGTATTGCTATTTTGCATGCATGTATTTTTAATTTTCTTAAATGATAGTGTGTTACATAGTTCAGAGTCCCTAAGTGTTGCAAATAGTTAATGAGCGTGACTGCTAACCAAAAGATTGGGGGACCGTGTCCACCCAGAAGCACCTTAGAAGAAAGGCCTGGCAAAATGCTTTCAAAAAATTAGCCATTGAAAACTCTATGGTGTATAGTTCTACACACAGGGGTGCTATGAGTCAGAATCGACTTGATGGCAACTAGTTTGGTTACATAGTTCATTCTGTTTCCTACTTTTTTCCCTCGACACTGTTTTTAAGATTTACCCATGTTGTTCTATCATCTAATACATTGCTTCTCACTGCTGCATAGCACTCCCTGGTCTGCATCTCCCAGAGCTCGCCAATCCACTCTCCACTACGGCATCTGATTACCTCCATCCCTGCTCCACCACCAAAACACCAGTGAACAGCCTCGAACATGTCCCTTTATGGACCTGTGTAGGATTTTTTCTGGGATTTATACCCAGGATCAGAATTGTTGGTTTCTTCTTGTTGTTAGTTGCTGTCAAGTTGGGTCCAACTCATGGCAACCCCATACAGCACAATAAAATGTTGCCCGGTCCTGTGCCATCTTTGCAATCGGTAGTATGCTCAAGTCCATTGTTGCAGCCACTGTGTATTTTGAGTGCCTTCCAACCTAGAAAGCTAATCTTCTAGCACTATACTGGACAATATTCTGTTGTGATCCATAGGATTTTCACTGGCTAATTTTCAGG